CCGAAACTTCTAGCACTCGAGGCGGACACTATGCCTTGAGACTACGCAGCCTCCTAACAGTCAATATGGAAGTTCTAGAGATAACTGAGAATTAAAAGTAAGTTGTTGAAAGAAATAAAGCAGAGACAAATGAACTATTTCAGCTATATTAAACTATATAACATTTGTATAAAAACCATACTGAATGGATAGGTTAAAGATATGTGTGCAAGAGGTAGGCAGCATTACAAGTCGGAGATATGAGATAGTGAAGCTCCTTCAAAGTCGGAGTGCATCTGCCTGAGAGACAAAGAACCAACAGTCTGCATACAAATTAGTCGGATCTGTCAAACGGATGCACACGCAACACTCAGGTTCTAGAACTTGACTGCAGTCCAGAAGTGGATGAACGACCAGAACTTTCTGCCAGAGTTTACAGCTGGTGAACGCGAAGAAGAAGAAGAAGATAGTGAAGCAGCCTTTTCAAAGATTGTACAATTAGGATGAGACTGAGCGAGTTGGAGGTCCATTGCAGTGAACCTTCACTGTGATTGATTGAGATGTCAGTGTTGTTTGTGAATTATCAGGAAACTGAATCTGTTGGGATGATTATATTTGTGAAGTTTTGTATGTTATTAGATTTTAATTTTATAATTTAAATATGCAAAATGTGCCAGTAGGAAATAATAAAAATTACCACTTGATACTATACCTGCCAGCCAGGAAAAAATATACATATTGCAAACACCAGGGAAGTCATAATCACAAGGCAACTCAGTGTGTGAAACATGTGAAATGTTACATTGTAATCTTTTAACATTGATCTTTCAGATTCAGACTGCATCAGTGGTCAACATCGCTCTCAAAAGTGAGTATTGTAATATATACATTGAGCTTTTTCTCTGCCATCCCACCTACCTCTGTGAGTTGATTGATTCACATAGTCAGTGACGTTGGATTCACATAGCCAGTGATGTTTGATTGATTCACATAATCAGTCTGTGACATTTGATTGATTCACATAGTCAGTCTGTGACGTTTGATTGATTCACATAGCCAGTGACATTTGATTGATTCACATAGTCAGTGACGTTGGATTCACATAGCCAGTGATGTTTGATTGATTCACATAATCAGTCTGTGACATTTGATTGATTCACATAGTCAGTCTGTGACGTTTGATTGATTCACATAGCCAGTGACGTTTGATTGATTCACATAGTCAGTGATGTTTCTCAGCAAATAAAGCATAAATAATATTTTACAATTAAAAAGGGCGAGATATATTATTAAAATCTGGCAATTTTTGAGAGATATAAGCAGTGTTATTGAGAACTGGTCATTGTAGTTCTGTGAGTCACCTGTTTTGACGCATCACATATCAGATGTGGCCTACTAGGAAATGTATTCAGTCTGAAATGACAACAGTTGGGCATATTCCATGATGTCATTTATTAATTTAACATACAACAAATGTTGCCTTCAGAGTTGTTGTCATTCATTAAAAAAAAAGTGCAAAAAAAAGAATTGTTACATGATTATTCTTAGCATTCTCCAGCCAATAAACTAATGTGGAAGGTTCTGGTATTCATCTACTTGGTCTTATTCCAAAAGTTGAATTTTGTATGCACATCTGTTTTACAGATCTGGCTTTTTTGTACATGAACTGTTGGTTCCTTACCTGTTAGGCTGATCTACTCTGACTTTAAAGAAAACACATAGGAAGTAGGAAGTGGGAAGTAAATATGGTCGGTGTGATGCTGACCACATCACCTGTCAAGTTCTGACTGGTGTAAAAAATTATGAGTCCAGCACAATATACCATTTGCACCACTGGTGTGAACAGGGTCTTTCACTTTAATTTTACATAATGGCTAGTGTAACTGCTACAAAAACAGGGCCCTTTACTTTACTTTTACATTGTGGCTAGTGTAACTGTCTACAAAAACAGGGCCCTTTACTTTACTTTTACATAGTGGCTAGTGGACATATCTACAGAAACTGGGCCCTTTACTTTACTTTTACATAGTGGCTAGTGTAACTGCTACAAAAACAGGGCCCTTTACTTTACTTTTACATTGTGGCTAGTGGACATATCTACAAAAACAGGGTCCTTTACTTTACTTTTACATAGTGGCTAGTGTAACTGTTTACAGAAACAGGGCCCTTTACTTTACGTTTACATAGTGGCTAGTGGAACTGTTTACAGAAACATGGTCCTTTACTTTACTTTTTCATAGTGGCCAGTGGGCATATCTACAGAAACAGGGCCCTTTACTTTACTTTTACATAGTGGCTAGTGGACATATCTACAGAAACAGGGCCCTTTACTTTAATTTTACATAGTGGCTAGTGAAACTGTCAACAGAAACAGGGCCCTTTACTTTACTTTTACATAGTGGCTAGTGGACATACTTACAGAAACAGGGCCCTTTACTTTACTTTTACATAGTGGCTAGTGGACATGTCAACAGAAACAGGGCCCTTTACTTTTACATAGTGGCTAGTGGACATATCTACAGAAACAGGGCCCTTTACTTTACTTTTACATAGTGGCTAGTGGACATGTCTACAGAAACAGGGCCCTTTACTTTACTTTTACATAGTGGCTAGTGGACATATCTACATAAACAGGGCCCTTTACTTTACTTTTACATAGTGGCTAGTGGACATGTCTACAGAAACAGGGCCCTTTACTTTACTTTTACATAGTGGCTAGTGGACATATCTACAAAAACAGGGCCCTTTACTTTACTTTTACATAGTGGCTAGTGGACATATCTACAAAAACAGGGCCCTTTACTTTACTTTTACATAGTGGCTAGTGGACATATCTACATAAATAGGGCCCTTTACTTTACTTTTACATTAATTATTTTGTGTGTCTTTTACCCTCAACTGATGCACAAGTAATTATTTTGTGTGTCTTTTACCCTTAACTGATGCACAAGTAATTATTGTGTGTGTCTTTTACCCTCAGCTGATGCACAAGTAATTATTTTGTGTCTTTTACCCTCAACTGATGCACAAGTAATTATTGTGTGTCTTTTACCCTCAGCTGATGCACAAGTAATTATTTTGTGTGTCTTTTACCCTCAGCTGATGCACAAGCAATTATTGTGTGTGTCTTTTACCTTCAGCTGATGCACAAGTAATTATTTTGTGTGTCTTTTACCCTCAACTGATGCACAAGTAATTATTTTGTGTGTCTTTTACCCTCAACTGATGCACAAGTAATTATTTTGTGTCTTTTACCCTCAACTGATGCACAAGTAATTATTTTGTGTCTTTTACACTCAACTGATGTACATGTTATTATTAAGAACATGTGAAACTGTTTAAAATAATAAATGCTAATTTCTTTGTTGGAACATTTTTATTAGGTCATGGGAAAGTTTGTAGTTAAAAATCTATTTATAACCTGGATGCAAAAGAACTATCAGTTGATTGTTTGAACCCTAAGGTATTCTTCTTTTTCTTTGTTCAAGTGACGTAAATGTGTTGTGCCTGTTTACAGCAGAGCTGTGATATTTGCACCTTTAGGCCAACACATCTGTCTTCATGGAGCATTTGGTGACCATGTTAACTTCCTTGATAGTTTCATGGGACAGGGACATGTTGTAGCCCTTATTTGTGTGGTGTTTTCTTTGTCCCCTTATCTAGAGGTGTTGCCCCTGGAAACCCCATGCAGGGCAAGTGTATGTAAACAGGTCGGCCCTCAAGGAAAGGTAGTGGCAGATCAAGGGCTTTCCCCATCATCCAAAGAGGCTCCCATAAATGCAGAGTAGACCCATGGCGATTTGATCCGGGACTCGTCCAAGGAATCGTCACCTCCTGCACATTTCTGCTTAACCTCACATATGTTTATTGAGCTTTCCAGTCGTCATGGGCTGCACCCTCTGAAGTCAGCAGAGATTAGCCCACAGGTCTGGGATTTCGATAGCCACAAAGATGGCTACAGAAACAGGGTCCTTTACTTTACTTTTACATAATAGCTAGTGGACATATCTACATAAACATGGTCCTTTACTTTACTTTTTCTTAGTGGCTAGTGGACATATCTACAGAAACAGGGCCCTTTACTTTACTTTTTCTTAGTGGCTAGTGGACATATCTACAGAAACAGGGCCCTTTACTTTACTTTTTCTTAGTGGCTAGTGGACATATCTACAGAAACAGGGCCCTTTACTTTACTTTTTCTTAGTGGCTAGTGGACATATCTACAGAAACAGGGCCCTTTACTTTACGTTTACATAGTGGCTAGTGGAACTATCTACAGATACATGGTCCTTTACTTTACTTTTACATAGTGGCTAGTGGACATATCTACAGAAACAGGGCCCTTTACTTTACTTTTACATAGTGGCTAGTGGACATATCTACATAAACAGGGCCCTTTACTTTACTTTTACCTAGTGGCTAGTGGACATATCTACAGAAACATGGCCCTTTACTTTAATTTTACATAGTGGCTAGTGGACATACTTACAGAAACAGGGCCCTTTACTTTACGTTTACATAGTGGCTAGTGGACATATCTACAGAAACAGGGCCCTTTACTTTACGTTTACATAGTGGCTAGTGGACATATCTGCAGAAACAGGGCCCTTTACTTAACTTTTGCATAGTGGCTAGTGGAACTGTCTACAGAAACATGGTCCTTTACTTTTACAAATGACTAGTGTAACTGTCTACAAAAACAGGGTCCTTCATTTACTTTTACATAGTGGCTAGTGGACATATCTACAGAAACAGGGCCCTTTACTTTATGGCCATGGCTGGAATATTTGTTCCAACCACTATAACTCGGGAACCTCGTAAGATGGGTAACATAAATTGTTTAGAATTTATTGCCAAGAAAAAAATGGTGTCAAAAGGAAGTGGTCAACCCCCCCGTTCAGGATGCAGAATATGGCATGGATAAACATTTCATGTCTTAGTGGCAGTGTTAGCCATGGGACTAATTTACACTTATCAGCAACTAGGCAATGAGTGAACTTTAAATTTATAACTAATTGCAGGTACAATTGTATGCCACACAAGGAGCCCCAGAGAAGACAGACTTATACTGGGTTTGTCAGATGCTTCATTGGTGAGTGTCCTTATTGTTAAGCTCAAAATATCAGTTATCAACAGCACTTCCTCATTCTCATCAGTCCTTAAAAAAAAAAAAGAACATTAATAATATTATGGATATAGCCATATATAATTTCTTATAAACAAACAAACCAGTTTCAGCACACCACTATTTTTTAAAAAAAGTTTTGTGTGTGTAGATTTTCTAATTTTGAAATGTTGCCAGGAAAGCAGACTGAAAAACCTTCTGTTTATGATTTCCAACTTCCTTGTCTGCCTTTCATCTCCCAGTCAACACAGCAAGTTCTTTTTATGACTTGTTTGTGATTTTTCTGCTAAATCTTCTAAGGGACGAAGTTGCAGTTTCATGCAAAATCTCCATAATTGTCTCTTATGCCATGCATGGAAGATTACAGTGTTACTATCTTTTGGTTCGTTTTTGTGGGCTTCTGACTTTCCATAGTCAACTCTCATGTCATGCATGGAAGATTACAGTGTTACTGTCCTTTGGTTCGTTTTTGTGGGCTTCTGACTTTCCATAGTCAACTCTCATGTCATGCATGGAAGATTACAGTGTTACCATCTTTGATTCCTTTTTTGGGAGGGCTTTTGACTTTCCAACTCTAATGTTATTATTCTTGCTTATTTTGTATGTGTCCCTGTGACATGCTGGCAAATATCCAACACTAAGTGATTTTAAAAAATAATTTATTCAGCATGCACAAAAAACCTACTGTTTTTTATTCTTATCTGAAGAGACAAGGTATTCACCAATGAGAAACATCTCTCCTACTTGACATTAAAGTTTAGGATCTGTGCTGATACTGTTGTTGTTGCTTGTATATAAGGAACCAACAGTCTGCATACAAATAAGCCAGATCTGTAAAATAGAGTTCTGGAAAGAACTCAAGTTCTGGAACAAAATTAAAATCCGGGAGTTGACAAACAACCAGAACTTGCCTCTAAAGTTTACATCCGGCAAATGCAAAGAAGAGAGAGAAGAGTTACTTGTATCTTCTTATTCTGATCACATTCCTGATGTTTGCACTGATAGAAGATGTCTTGTGACAAAAGTGATGCTGTTGTGGAGCTCCACTCTAGTTCCATACAGCTTGGAGTATGATGCTGACTCACCAAGCCAGTATTCTTCTCTGTACAAGGGACAGTTCTTAGGATATGCTCTGTACTTTATTTCTTGTATCTGTCAGATCTAACAACAATTAAAAGTAGGGTGAATAATTCTAACCTGTTCAGACAAACTGAAGTAAATGAAACATTAACTGTATCTTCCAGATACTTCTCCCCCCCCCCCCCCCCCCCCCCCCCCACACATACTGAAGGACATTTTCTGTCCTGACACAGGAATGGTAATTAAACCAGTCAACTGTAACTAAAAAGCCTAATGAAATGAGGAAGCAAAACAACGTGCACAAAAACAGACAAACCAACGCTTTGGCCGGAACCTTTCTTGACGTGAACTAACTACACTTTATTCTATTTTATTTTAATCATTCCACATCACCGTTTTTTAAAATTGATGTTCACGTGACCCCCTGGTAGGCGCTGATGGTTGGAGTATTCTCCCCTTTGTTATTGTTATGTACTTAGTTCATTTCGAGAAAGACCCTAGCCGGAACGTCGATTTGTCTGTTTTTGGGCATGTTTACTGCTTCCCCAATTCGTTAAGCTTTTTAGTCACAGTTCATTGGATTAATTTCTTGGTATTAGCTTGACTGCAGTTACCCCTGTTTTTACCATGGAAGTGGAGCAGTTTTGGTGCCACCCCTCTGCTGTGAAGTAGAATCTCGACCAAAATCAGGCTCACAACAGATAGAAATAATAGAGAAACACTGTTTAAACATGTCCTGTTGATAACAGTTTACAGTTTTTGGTGTCTTATTATTTATTGTAGTTAAGAGGGAAGGAATTTCCTGAAACAATATTGAACTGACATCATCAAGTGCCTTGCCAACTGGCGTGGGCGACCATGCCTCTCCATAATCTGCGATCCACAAATGTGTGTATCAGTTTGTGTGTTGACACCCCTCCATGCCATGATCAAAGGCTGTCAAGAATCTTCTTACACTGTCTTCCTCTGTTTCTGTGTTAACCAAAAAATGATGACTGTCTCATTCTGATGTTTGTGATAAATTGTCTTCAAGCACCTGCCACTTTCAAAACATCTGGGTTACTCTTCTTAGCTGTCCAAGCAATTCTAAGGATTCTTCTGTAAAACCACATCTCCACGGCCTCAAGATATTTTTCGGCTGTTTATTAACTGTCCTGGATTTACAGCCATATGTTAAAACTCGCTCTGTATAGTTAGAATTGACATCACTATAATCCAGAATTAATCTTTTGTATAAAAGCCCATCAGGCATGTGGTAATAGACTCATATGATTATAGACCAGTTGGCAGCTGAAGTATGATTCATCATCTAGCCAGCTGTCTTTATTTCCTGGAACATTTCCTCCCCAAAAACATGTCCAATATTTTAATTTGGTTTCAGTTTTTCCCCTTTGTTTGTTTAGACCAAGTCTGTACATGTTATATTGAACTTTTTATCACAAAATAATACAGAAATCAGTTGGGAAAATGAGCCAAATCAGTGACAGATTTGGGCTCTGCAACAGATTCACTGCCACTAGCAAACATATTGTCAAAGTAGATTAGTTAGGCATGTTTTCTTCAGAGTCTGAGTATATCTTCCTGAGAGGTGAGGAACCAACAGTCTGCATGCAAATAAGCCAGATGTGTAAACAATTTATGTACACGCAAAACCCAAGTTCCAGAACAAGATGAAAGTTCAGAAGTGGGTGAACAACCAGAACTTTCTGCTGGAGTTTACAGCTGGTGAGCACTGAGAAGAAAAAGAAGTTAGAAATGAACTGGATATGTCTGAGAAGGAATATCTATATATATAAAAATCAATGTTTGTGTGTTTGTTTTACCCCTATAGACTCGGAAACTACTGAACCGATTTAGCTGAAATTTTCAGGATATGTTTGTTTTGATACCGGATGTTGAACCATCATGGTTTGAAATTCAACCTGTCATTGTTAGAGATAGGTGACCCCAATTTAAGCCATAATATTCGAAACTAATATTTATAATTTTAGTGATTTCTAATTATAGCCACGTTAGTAATTGCGCATGTGCCGTGCAGCCAACACCTCCTCTAATACATAGAGTAGGTCGTGGTAAAGCAAACAAGACTATATCTATATCTGTGCAGGCAGCGATTGCCACAATAACTATATTAGACACGATTTCTATTTTCTGTTTTTTTTTCAAACACCCTTCGATGAGTTGAAAAATAGCCGATGGATTGTAGGGAAAAAGAGGGGGGGGGGGCATCAGGGACTATCTCGACGTCTGCGCAGACATTGACTGCGACATTAACCGTGTTAGACACGTGCGATTTCTTTTGTTGTGCCGTTTCATTAATATATTTGAAATATCTGTCTATGAGAAAACAATTGCCTGCTGTTTTGAGTTGTGTTACAATCGTTCACTGCAGTAGGGACACATATCTAAAATAGTTATGTTCTCTTTTCGTTATTCCTATTGAGTGGTTGCTTGGTCGAATGGTTAGAACACTCAGCTCTTGAGAGGGAGACCAGGGTTCGAATCCGCAGTAGTTTTTTGTTTTTTTTACTTAGGGCTAAAATAAAATCCTCACCTGCACTGTCGTGGCGACAGCAAAAGCCATATGGCCCTTAATGATATATATATTTTAAAAAAAAGAAAAAAACAAGGACAGGTTTGTGGGTAAACCAGTTGATAATTAAATTTGACCATTTCACATACTTATGATTTCATTTTAAACTTTTCGATTGCATGGTTACGCTGAAATTTCATAGCTTTCCATTTATTTTCATTTAGATTTAAATATTTAATCTGCGTTGAAATTTTAAGCTGTGCTGTTTACCATAGCGTTCATTTCCTAATTCTGGTGTATTTTTCCTGTTTTAATTGCTTTTCAATGTTTTTTTTCCCCTCTCAACTACTTCGATGAGGGAAAAAGTAGTCGGTGAATTGGGGGGGGGGGGGGGGAACTGAAACTATTACTGAGAGAGCTTTAAGTCACAGTAACCGCTTTACCCACTCAAAGTAGCAGCAGCAGTAGTAGTTGTGGTTGGGCGGTCACACCATAGTGCTCTCATGTGAAGACCGCCGGTAAGGTTATGGCATTCTTCTGTCGGGGAGCGAAATCATACATCCTAACCTGACCAGTCCTTGGCGACAGCACTAGCCATGTGGCGCCAAATCTTCTGGCTCACGACTCCCTGTCTACTCCGATGGTAAAACAGATAGCAGTGACATTATTTTAGCTTTTGTGGTGGTGGTCGTGGTAGTAGTTGCACTGGTACTTGAAGGATGATGCAGTAAATATTACATTAGCCCCATTCACTGCCTATTACAATTCCTGCTCCCAATTTAGTCCGGTTGGACAGGGATGTCAATGTTAGTTACAACAAAAAGAATATCGCCAGGTGATGATTTTTCAATCCTTCGAAGAGGGAGAGAGCAGTAGTCGGTGGAAGAGGGGAGGGGAGAGGGTAATGACTGAAATTTAAGAGAACTTGAAGAGCTTTACACATGATTTTTAAGTTCTCATTACTTACTTAAATTGTTTATATTTTACTAACGCTACTTTCACTATTCTAATTTTTGGACGACTTACTTTGTTATTTACAAGTACAGTAGTAGCTTTACTTAGGTCTCCTATAAAAATACAAACAGCTTTAGCATGTGATAACCAAATAACCACTTTTGTTACTGTGCTAATAGCACCATTTAAACGACCACTAATATAAAGACACAATTATATGGTGTGTGTTCTAAAGTTGGAAAACCAGACTATCTCTATATAAATGTGCAGAGAATGATTGCGACATTAACTATATTAGACAGGTTCGATTTCCATTGTCTTTCTTTTCCAAAAATCTTTGATGAGGGAGAGGGTAGTAGGTGGATTTAGTTGTGGGGGTGGGGGGGGGGGTGGTGGGGATCAAAGATTATCTCTATATCTGAGCAGACAATGATTGTATTAGACATGTGCGATTTCTATTTTCTTTCATTTCCATTTAGCCAAACTATGCCACAGCAACGCGTGGCCGGGTACAGCTAGTAATAAATAAAAATTAACAAAATAAATAGTCACATGAAAACAAACACACTTTATTTATACAGAAAACCTTTTTGGAGCTAGGATTAATTTAATGACTTTCAAACAATAAATGTCCAGATGTGTAATAAATGTAAACACCCCCCCCCCCCCCCTCCCCCACCCCTCCCTTTTTCATATTTGTTGCATCTGTATCAGGTGATGTATGATGACTACAGAAAAGCTACAGTACTTATAAGGGCATCAGTAGTAAGTGAAGCAGTGTCGTTATTTTTGGTTTAAAAAAAAAGAGTATTTGTACATTGTTAAAATGTTCTGTTGATATTTGTTTTGCCAAAATTGACTGGCTTTGTTTATGCTGAGTCAGTTAGTATAGGTGTTGTCAGTTTATTTTGATTACTGTGATCAGAGGAAAGAAAAGTAGTGATCATAGCATTACATAACAAGACATAAAATAATTAATCATTCACTTTCGTGAAAGCATATTTTGTTTATTTATAAAACTGGTTATTTCTATATCTAATTTTGAATTTAAATATATATTTATACAAGAGCTAGTGACTCTGGACAGTTGAAAGACTTTTTATAGGAATAGAAAATAATCAGTGCTGATTGACACACATTTCACACATGTTGCAGTTGAGAAGATGTTATTTTCAGTGAAGATAGTCATTGATAATGATCATTGTGCATGCATTAGACTCTATAAATTAATGCATTGATTCTTTACTTTGTCTGCTTTAGTATTTCTCACCTCTGTTTTGATTTCCTTACATAGGATAGAGGATGGATACAAAAGAGTTAAATAATAATGGTACAAGACCCTTTCATGCATTGAAGTGTCTCAAGCTTGTGTTTTTATATATCAATCAATACTCTTGGTGATGTGGCCAACTTAACACCAGCTGCTTTTATTTTCTGTGACATTCCCTTGTACCTATTTTTTGGCTAGATCAATCATTTCAAAAAATAACCTCAATGTAAATTAAAATCCATGACCACTGGGCTGAGTGCAGGTGTTCTAGTCACTGTGATACAGTCGCTCCCAAACAAATATACACCATACGGCAGGGCTATTCAGCAAAGTTTACTCAGGGGCCAACATTTGGGGATCATCATGGGCAAGTTGCCTGAGCCCCAGCAGAGAAAGATCACCAATACAATACAGCTGTCAATGATCACAGGCCAGTTGCTAGGCCTCCTTGTGCCAGATTTGGCTGCCAGTTGAATAGCCCTGCCATAGCTTATGCAAATGTTCTAGTCACCATGATACCACTGCTCCCAGACAATATATACCACAGAGTATGCAAGTGTTCTGGTCACCATGATACCACTGCTCCCAGACAATATATACCACAGAGTATGCAAATGTTCTAGTCACCATGATACCACTGCTCCCAGACAATATGTGCCACAGAGTATGCAAATGTTCTAGTCACCATGATACCACTGCTCCCAGACAGTATATACCACAGAGTATGCAACTGTTCTAGTCACCATGATACCACTGCTCCCAGACAATATGTGCCACAGAGTATGCAACTGTTCTAGTCACCATGATACCACTGCTCCCAGACAGTATATACCACAGAGTATGCAAGTGTTCTAGTCACCATGATACCACTGCTCCCAGACAATATATACCACAGAGTATGCAACTGTTCTAGTCACCATGATACCACTGCTCCCAGACAATATGTACCACAGAGTATGCAACTGTTCTAGTCACCATGATACCACTGCTCCCAGACAATATATACCACAGAGTATGCAAGTGTTCTAGTCACCATGATACCACTGCTCCCAGACAGTATATACCACAGAGTATGCAAGTGTTCTGGTCACCATGATACCACTGCTCCCAGACAATATATACCACAGAGTATGCAAGTGTTCTGGTCACCATGATACCACTGCTCCCAGACAGTATATACCACAGAGTATGCAACTGTTCTAGTCACCATGATACCACTGCTCCCAGACAGTATATACCACAGAGTATGCAACTGTTCTAGTCACCATGATACCACTGCTCCCAGACAATATATACCACAGAGTATGCAAGTGTTCTGGTCACCATGATACCACTGCTCCCAGACAGTATATACCACAGAGTATGCAACTGTTCTAGTCACCATGATACCACTGCTCCCAGACAGTATATACCACAGAGTATGCAACTGTTCTAGTCACCATGATACCACTGCTCCCAGACAATATGTGCCACAGAGTATGCAACTGTTCTAGTCACCATGATACCACTGCTCCCAGACAATATATACCACAGAGTATGCAAGTGTTCTGGTCACCATGATACCACTGCTCCCAGACAGTATATACCACAGAGTATGCAACTGTTCTAGTCACCATGATACCACTGCTCCCAGACAATATATGCCACAGAGTATGCAAGTGTTCTAGTCACCATGATACCACTGCTCCCAGACAATATATGCCACAGAGTATGCAACTGTTCTAGTCACCATGATACCACTGCTCCCAGACAATATATACCACAGAGTATGCAACTGTTCTAGTCACCATGATACCACTGCTCCCAGACAATATATACCACAGAGTATGCAACTGTTCTAGTCACCATGATACCACTGCTCCCAGACAATATATACCACAGAGTATGCAACTGTTCTAGTCATCATGCTACCACTGCTCCCAGACAATATGTGCCACAGAGTATGCAAATGTTCTAGTCACCATGATACCACTGCTCCCAGACAATATATACCACAGAGTATGCAAGTGTTCTAGTCACCATGATACCACTGCTCCCAGACAATATGTGCCACAGAGTATGCAACTGTTCTAGTCACCATGATACCACTGCTCCCAGACAATATGTGCCACAGAGTATGCAAATGTTCTAGTCACCATGATACCACTGCTCCCAGACAATATATACCACAGAGTATGCAAGTGTTCTAGTCATCATGATACCACTGCTCCCAGACAATATATACCACAGAGTATGCAAGTGTTCTAGTCACCATGATACCACTGCTCCCAGACAATATGTGCCACAGAGTATGCAAGTGTTCTAGTCACCATGATACCACTGCTCCCAGACAATATGTGCCACAGAGTATGCAAGTGTTCTAGTCACCATGATACCACTGCTCCCAGACAATATGTGCCACAGAGTATGCAACTGTTCTAGTCACCATGATACCACTGCTCCCAGACAGTATATACCACAGAGTATGCAAGTGTTCTAGTCACCATGATACCACTGCTCCCAGACAATATATACCACAGAGTATGCAAGTGTTCTAGTCACCATGATACCACTGCTCCCAGACAATATGTGCCACAGAGTATGCAAGTGTTCTAGTCACCATGATACCACTGCTCCCAGACAATATGTGCCACAGAGTATGCAAGTGTTCTAGTCACCATGATACCACTGCTCCCAGACAATATGTGCCACAGAGTATGCAACTGTTCTAGTCACCATGATACCACTGCTCCCAGACAATATGTGCCACAGAGTATGCAACTGTTCTAGTCACCATGATACCACTGCTCCCAGACAGTATATACCACAGAGTATGCAAGTGTTCTAGTCATCATGATACCACTGCTCCCAGACAATATATACCACAGAGTATGCAAGTGTTCTAGTCACCATGATACCACTGCTCCCAGACAATATATACCACAGAGTATGCAAGTGTTCTAGTCACCATGATACCACTGCTCCCAGACAATATATGCCACAGAGTATGCAACTGTTCTGGTCACCATGATACCACTGCTCCCAGACAGTATGTGCCACAGAGTATGCAAGTGTTCTAGTCACCATGATACCACTGCTCCCAGACAATATATGCCACAAAGTAACCAGTGCCTGTGTGTCAAGTCTACTGTATTGTTTCTTTTATCTCTGCCCAGCCTCCGACAAGCATAGCTTGGCATCCCGGTGGAACACTGTTGCTGGTGGCCAGTTCTAGAGGAGACATTCAGGTAAATACATTAAACTCATATGTTAAACCTCAGTTCACAAACTGTATTTGTTGTTGCAGAACTAATTGGTAGTTAGCACCCTTTGGGTACTTTCTTAAGGTCTTACTGGTGTGTTTGGAAACCAGCAGGCAGATAGACTGGCTGGTTCTGCACCACTTGATGGCAAACTGATGTATGACAAGCTAGATGATGTGAGGGCCCTTTGGGGGTGAGTGAACAGTGCGAAGGCACAAATAGATGATTTCAGTCTGAGGAAAATAGTGCTGTGGGGAGTTGCCTGGGGATCTGGCCGATGCTTAACACTCAAGGCAAAGATGAGACGGATTTACAACCATTTAGTTACTGATACCATTGGAACTGGAACTCTTCACTTGTTGCTGAAGATGGGGATGGAGCACTTATGGGAGTGTCTTGAGTGCTATGATGTCAATTCCTAATTCAACTTCAACATCTAATGTCTACCTCTTGAATGTGTCCCTTATACTTGTGTCTTCAGCAGTGTCTTCAGAGTTTATTTTTGCACTTAGTACTTTAATTGTCTTGCATTGACTACGTTTCAGTTCAGATTTTGTAAGACCAATTTTTTTGTTTTTATTGTTTGCATTTTTTAGTTTGTCGGCTGGCAGGCATAATTGTTAGGGTCTTTGTTGAACAGAATAGTGGTCAAAAGAGTAATTCCCCCAAGTTCAGTCTGGCCTTGCACTGGAATTAGTTGACAATCAGATGCTGATATCTATGGAAGAACCCTGACCAGGATCAAACCTAATCACTACCTTGTCTGTGTGTGCACTGCTGAATCATGACCTAGCTACTTTCTGATCTGCTTTTCAGAAAATATGTAGTTTAAGTACCAGTTTTTTTTTTTTAAATTTTGTTACATGTGATATGTTTGTTAGCTTAGTGAGAGGTATAGGATCTTTGCAACACATTTCCCAAGGAGATTGTACTTCAGTACCAGGTCAAGAGCAACATCTCTACACCACCCTCACTGCAGTAAATGCGCTTCTTTCTGAGGCTTAAACAGCCTGAATGACCATGCAGTGGTTTACAAGAATCAAAGCTCATTCCTCCAGAGCAGTGGTTCCCATTTGGCTAAGACCTGCAGACCTCTTTTATTTTTGAAGATCTTCCACTGAACACATCATTTTTTTTTATATCCATGTACTGAAGAAATTAATGTAATTTATAAATATTAGAACCACAAAAATGATTGTATTCTAAAGTTGAGAGTGAAGAAACAAAAGTGATATCACAGCCCCCTTAAATTTGTTCATTGGGACCCCCACCCCTCTCACCACCTCCCATCCCAAACCCTACCACCCCCACCACCAACTAGGTAACCCAGCTCCTAGACCAGAGAATTCACCAACCACCAAATATTGCCACTGATGGCAGGGTGAGACTTTCGAAACGACCTCCTGCCTTAGGTTGATGACCATGCTTGAGGGAAAATTTAATGTTCCAGGACAGTGACACTGGTTACAGTGTTAAAATTACATCAACAGTTGAGCAGTATGGAGGATGTTTGACTGTAAAATAACATACATAGGGAAGCAGTATGGAGGATGTTTGACTGTAAAATAACATCCACAGGGTAGCAGTATGGAGGATGTTTGACTGTAAAATAACATCCATAGGGGAGCAGTATGGAGGATGTTTGACTGTAAAATAACATACATAGGGAAGCAGTATGGAGGATGTTTGACTGTAAAATAACATCCACAGGGTAGCAGTATGGAGGATGTTTGACTGTAAAATAACATCCATAGGGGAGCAGTTTGGAGGATGTTTGACTGTAAAATAACATCCATAGGGGAGCAGTATGGAGGATGTTTGACTGTAAAATAACATCCATAGGGTAGCAGTATGGAGGATGTTTGACTGTAAAGTAACATCCATAGGGAAGCAGTATGGAGGATGTTTGACTGTAAAATAACATCCATAGGGGAGCAGTATGGAGGATGTTTGACTGTAAAGTAACATCCATAGGGGAACAGTATGGAGGATGTTTGACTGTAAAATAACATCCACAGGGTACCAGTATTGATAAACTTTGACGTAAAATAAATATCAACAGTTGAGCATTATGGAGGATGCTTGATTGTAAAAAAGCATCAGCAATTAGGCAGTATAGAGGATGTTTAACTGTAAAATAACATCACAGACAAGCAGTAAAGAGGATGTTTAAATATAAAATAATACCAACTGATGAACAGAAAAGAGAATTGTTTTATTGTAAAATAGCATCAAGTGATAAACAAAAATGTGTTTTTTTTCGTGTAAAATAATATCAACTGATGAACAGATGGGAGCATGTTTGAAAGTAAAATAACATCAAATGATGAACAGAAAAGAGGATGTTTTAGTGTAAAGTAACATCAACTGATTAAAAGAAAGGAGGATGTTTGTAAAATAACATCAGCTGATTAAAAGAAAAGAGGATATTTGACTGTAAAGTAACATCAGCTGATTAAAAGAAAGGATGATGTATTTTTTTGCCTGTAGAATAACAACTGATGAAAATAAAGGAGGATGTTTGAGATTAAAATAACATCAACAGATTAAAAGAAAGGAGGGTGTTTAAGTGTAATGAAACATCAACAGGTGAGGAGAAAAGAGGTTGTTTGAGTGTAAAGAAACATCCACTGGTGAGGAGAAAAGAGGATTCTAGAGTGTAAAGTAACATCAACTGGTGAGGAGAAAAGAGAATGCTAGAGTGTAAAATAACATCACCTGGTGGGAAAAAAAAAAAAGGACGCTGTTTGAATGTAAAGTAAATTCAACTGGTGAGGAGAAAAGAGGATGTTTGAATGTTAAATATCAGCTGATTAAAAGAAAGGTGGATGTTTGAGTGTAAAAAAACATCAACAGATTTGCATTAAAGAGGATGTTTAAATGTACAATTGTCATGCGAGGCTGGATGTGCTGGAGATTCCTAGCTACCAACCTTCAATGTTGACAGTTTGAAATTGTGTAATGATCAAATACCTCACACCGTAGAGTAGTTCCCACCTTGGCATTGTCTGTGTTTCAAAAATGTCTTATTTCATGATTTGTGTATTCTGTAGCTGTTTGACAAAGCCCTGTCATCCCTTGGCATCCAGCTGGTCAGTGAAGAGCCGTCTGCTGAGAAGTATCTTCGCCTGGGCAAGTACATCAGGTAGAAATATGTCTCTTGTAGTAGGCTGAACTTCTCAGTTTAAAATACCAGAGCAGGGATGTTAAAATACATTTTAAACTGGAAATTGACTATGTTCTATCAGGAATCAGCATTCTTGTATACTTCTTGTTTTCCCCCCTTTCATCGGCTGTAAACTAGGGCAAAAAGTTCTGGTTGCTCATTTACTTCTGAGCTTTAGTCAGTCCCAGAACTTGAGTTTTGTATGCACATCCGTTTTACTGATATGGCTTATTTGTATGCAGTAGGTATCCTGAAAGACTGTCGTGTGACACAGACTTGACTAACACAGACTTGACCAACACAGACTTGACCAACACAGACTTTCCTGTGAGAATTCCAGGACCCCATTTTTGGCAGAAAAAAAGAAAAAGCCCCTATAACAAACGTGTCAGTAAAAGGTGACTAAGGGTTTGCCAAAATCACATGTATTCAGCTGAAAAGCTCATCAATTACAGCCTCGCTGTAAACCACAACACAAGGTGTCAAATGCCTTTTTCATGAAAAACACCGAAGAAGAAAAATGACTTACATTGACACCCACTGGCACAAAACTTTATTAGGATAAGTCAGGGCTTTTTTACCCTAGAAGAAAAGGTACCGGTACCCAGAGTGTCTAAAAAGGGGCCAATAGTCATCACACAGTGTTTATAACAGCAGCGCTAACACAAACATGATGCCTTAAAAGGTGCCCGTACTGCATACCATTGCATACCCTCAGGAAAAAAAAGCTTTGGTAATATTGTCCTGCACTCATCCACATCAACAGATATCAAGCAAAAGATCAACAACTTTATCTTTGCAATTGTTATTAATTATTGTAGCTTTTTTCTGTTTTCAGTTAAATGTTAATTTAGATAGAAATATAAGCACAAATTTGTCTTGTGTCCAAAAATGAATGTGCATAGTTAAAAAAAAATATATATATATATAGGGAAAAAAGTTAATGCCTTTTCATATCTAGAGAAACACATGGCACAGAAGTTTGGTTTTGTTACAAATGGGCAAGGAATACAGTTTTTGTGGGGCAGTGAATCCACATTACTGGCCTGAATGATAGACTTGTGAGTTGAGATCAGCATAGCTAAAACAAGTCCCACACCAGGCACATCACACATCAGAGGACTTGTTCTTCAACATAGAACTAGTACTATTAGCCACCGGATGCTGGGGTTCTTACTGAAGGGGGGATCTGAGCACTTATGGACATGTTTTGAGTGCAGTGATGATAACCCAACTAACTAAACTGACTGACTGACTGACTGACTGACTGACTGACTGACTGACTGACTGACTGACTGACTATCGTGTTTAAATAAGTGGAAACGTTGGCACCTGTGGTTTAGGCGTGTTGAACACGCTTCCTAATGCCAGGGTTTCGGGTTGTCGGGTTTAATCCCAGCTGCAGGCAGTTTGGCAGCACACCACTATGTTGGTGTTGACAGTGGTATTGAGAGTCGACAGTTCAGTAAGCAATGGCAAACTACTGAAAGTAAGTTCGCCTAGGAAAATCACAACAGCCATGCTGCGGTTGATTGTGCAAGATCCTGTAAAGAACACACATCTATTAAATGGGGAAACACAATTATAGAGAATGTTAAAAAAATGCTGACCGGGAAACTGTGGCCGTGAGGCCACAGGCGAACGAGGCTCTGGCTCGCCAGATGGGATGGGGTCCATCTGGTCAGATTTTCCCTTAAACTGCGACTGGCCTAGCAAGCCGGCAGTGGATTTTTTATTGCTACGAAAATTAGAAAGGAGATAAATGCAAAACATGGTGTCGGATTTATACTTCATCCCGAGACAGCAAAATTAAAAACAGGAACAGAATTTATATCAGAAAGAATTATTTTAATCAAGTTGACAGAAGGAAGTAAAACTACAACGATTATTCAGATATATGCACCTTGCAACGATAGTTATTCTGAAGAAGAAAAAGAAGACTTTTACGAGAGACTTACGGACACATCAATAATGTTAAAGAGAAAGAGGACATCATAGTAATGGGAGATTTTAATGGTAGGGTAGGTAAAAGAAGATCACCATGGGAGAGATACCTTGGCCCATTCAGCGACACAACCACAGACTGCAATAGAAATGGAGAACACCTGTTAAACTTGTGTGCTGAACAAGATCTCTACATTACCAACACATTCTACCAACATCGCCAAAGTCAGGTTAAAACGTGGTACAAGTGGAACAACTTAGATCAAGCGTCACAAATTGATTTTATACTAGTCAGACAACGGCAGAAGAGGACGGTAAGAGACTCAAAAGCTGTCCCAAATGCGGGACTGGATTCAGACCATCGCCCAGTAGTTATGAACATATGCAACTCAAGTAGAAAACAGTCTACATAAACAGAAACGTGAAGAAATCATCAACACTAAGAAATTAGAGGAAGAGAATATCAAACATGAATTTGAACTAGAAATAACAAAGGCTTTTGCAGATATTGCCAAGGAACCTGTAAGAATTGAAGAAGAATGGGATTATTATAAATCAACCATCACGAAGATATTAAAAGACAAGTGTGGTACCAGAAAGACGGGCAAAGGCAAGAAAAAGGGTACCGCTTGGTGGAATGAAGAAGTCAAAGAAGCAGTGTCAAATAAAAAGAAGATGTTTCAAATATGGTTAAAAACAAAAGACGAAAAGGATTACATTAGGTACAGACTAACTCGTAGAGACACCAAGAGAACAATAAAGAAATCCAAAGAGGAATCATGGAAAAAGTATGGTGAACACCTAACACAGCTATGTACAGAATCACCAAGAGACTTTTATAAGAGTGTGAAAGCGATGCGATTAAGAGAAGAAAGCTTCAATCCAACATCAGTCATAAACGATAAAAATGGAAAACCATTATTCAGCCAAAAAGAAATTAAAAAAAGATGGGAGGAATATTTTAAAGAACTTTTGAACCCGTCGGGAGTACATGATACAGCAGAATTCCATTCAAGGGCTCCAGATCATCTAGTTTTCAAAAAAAACAAGTAAAAGACCACAAAGCAGCTGTATTGGGAGGGGAGGCTGGGTGGGTTGAAGGGGGGGTGTGGGGGGGAAAGGGGGGGGGGGTGGGGGGGGGGGGGGGGATTGTGGGGGGGTGGTGGTTGGGGGGGGGGGGGGAAAAAGATGAAGAGAAAAAAGAAAAAAAAAAAAAAAAAAAAAAAAAGAAAAGAAGAGAAAGAAAAGAAAAAGAAAAAAAAAAAAGAGGAAAGAAAGAGGAGAAAGAAAAAAATTGAAACCACATATCCTGCGGGATGAAGTAGAGAAAGTTATCAAAACAAGTAAAAGACACAAAGCAGCTGGTATTGACGGAATAACAACAGAAGTCATCCAGGCTGGAGGGGACACTATGATCACCTGGCTGGAGAGAATTTTCAATAGAGCATGGGCAGAGAGAAAGGTACCAGTGGATTGGCAAAGATCAGTTGTAGTACCTATCTGGAAGAAAAAAGGAAACAAGAGAGAATGTGGAACTTATAGAGGAATATCTTTACTAAGTCATGTGGGGAAAATGTATGCAAAGATCTTAGAAGGTAGGATAAGAGCAAAGGTTGAACCTCTCTACTGAGTAAAGCACAATTCGGTTTCAGGAAAGGGCGAGGTTGCACTGATGCCATATTTGCACTAAGACAAGTCTGTGAAAAGACACTCGAATACGATAAAGAGCTGAACGTGGTCTTTGTAGATCAAGAGAAGGCATTCGAACCGTGTAGACAGAGATGTGCTGTGGAGAATTCTTGACGATTACGGAGTGCAGGGTCAATTATTAGACAACATCAGAGCCCTCTATGAAAAAAGTGAAAGTGCAGTAAGAACATCTAGTGGTCTTTCTGAATGGTTCAAAGTCACAACTGGTGTCAGACAAGGATGTGTACTGTCACCATTACTTTTCATAACATACATGGATAAGATCACTGTAGAAGCAAACCCAGACGTGTATGCTATAAACGAATTACTTTTTGCTGATGATCAAAGCATACTGTATCAAAATGAATATGATCTACAGGAACATCTGACTACTCTCAACAACAGCTGTTTACAACATAATATGAGAATCAGTACAGAAAAAACAGAAGTTATGAAGATCAGCAGAACACACAGGCCACTGAATATAAATGTTGGAAGTGCCAAAATCAAGCAAACCAAAGAGTTCAAATACTTGGGCAGTATATTTACAGAGGATGGAAGAATGGACAGAGAGATAGAAACAAGAATACAGAAAGCAAATGCTGTCACATACCCAACTATCACCTCTGCTTAAACATCCAGATATAACCATGAAGACCAAAAGACAATTGATAAACACCATCTTCATTCCAACACTCTGCTACCAGTGCCAAACATGGACAATCAACAAGACCCATGAAAGAAAAATAGAAGCCTGTGAAATGAAATGTCTAAGAAAAGCAGCGAATAAGACCAGACTAGACAGGATAAAGAATATAGACATTAGAAACACTGTCAAAACTACGCCATGTTTAGACTACATAGAACATCAAAGAATGAAATGGTTTGGACATCTAACCAGGATGAAAAATGATCAAATAACATCAAAAATTTTCAACCAAAGAAGCTCAGGATATAAGGCAAGAGGAAGACCAAGGAAACGGTGGATTGACGGGGTCTCCGAAACCTGCCAAAAGCATGGCCTCAGAACATCAGATGCTGCCCGCCTTGCTTATGACAGGAACTTGCATCTCCCCACAACGCTTAGCGGCATACGTGGAAGGAAAAAGTAAGTAAAGTAAGTTAAAAAAATTGTTTATATTTGGCACAATATCAGTAATTATGGAATACAGAAAAATACTTTGAGAATATGTTTACTTTGTTACAAAGGACATTGTAATGATAACACTGATTCATGTTTATGCTATGTTATTGTCTCGACTGAAACAGTTAGTAAATGTATAGCTAAACTGAGCTGAGGTCATTAAAAAAAATGTGACCCATTGTACAGATTCCATTCCAAGAGATTTGAGCCAGCAGGTGAGCTTCTAGCTGCTATACTACCACAGCAGTTCAGATTTGATTCCTAGATGTAGCATGATATTTTGTCAACTATTTGTGTAGGGTCAATCCAGCCTCAGAGAAATGGGTACCAGATAATTTCCAGAATTTTCTGAGGATTGTCTGGGGTGGAAAGGGGATGAGGAAGGGAACTAGGTACCCTTCCTCATATGACATGACCTAGAATTTTTCAAGGCCTAAACTTCTCCCCAACATCATTATCTATCATAGAACTACCTTTACTTGTGATTGGATTTTTGTCGTCTGTTGTGGAATGTCACATCAAATATTTGGTTTTCAAACAGGACATCTACAGCTTTGAAGGATATAAACTGGTGCCCCTTTTCTCCACACAGCTGTGAATTTGTGACAAGTTCTATGGATGCATTGTTCATTGCCTTCAGCAGGTCTGCTTTTTCCCTTAGCTTTATATCATGTAACATTTTGGTAACTATTTATACACATTTGTAGAAAATTTAGGCAGTAATGAAAGCTTTCCAATGACTAGAGAGCAATACAACTTGACATGTTGTCATTGTAACGTGTTCATAGAGCATCTTCAGAAACTAATACATTAGTGTCCAACATCTAGAGTGGTTTTCATTGCTTGATAAGACAGATCATGAATTTGTTGCCTGAATATTCAGATGTGTGGGGTAATGAGCAGGCTGAAAGATTGACTGCTGCTCCTCTAGGTGGTGAGTAACTTTATGATAAAGCGGAATTGAACAAGACCTGGATTAAATGGCTAGTGCAGCTGAACAGGCAGAGAATCCATTTCTGAAGATACTATTGTAATTGCTAGTGAGCAGAGGGCCTGGATGATGTTTATTGTCCATGGGGGAAGAAAGGTGGGCTTGTAATAGGTTGTAACTGGTACCATCAGTATTGAGTTTGCTATTCATCAAAGGAATTGAGTCTGTCTGTGTGTGTGTCCCAAATACAGCAATGTCATTTTCTGATTGATTCATTCAGATGTTGTTTATTTATCTTGCTCTGCTCAAAGTAGTGATTCATTCAGATGTTGTTTATTTATCTTGCTCTGCTCAAAGTAGTTTGTATGTGTTGTTCTAATTTTGCTAATTATTTTGTCAACATAAAATCAAAGTTCAGAGTTATGTATGTTTTATCATATGCCTAGCCCCTACCTTTGAGGATGTCTATATGTTCATCTCCCATTGTTCACTTCTCATTCTTGGGGATGTTTTTATGATTTTTTTTCCCACTCATATTTTGAGGCATTCTTGATGTGTTAGTTTTCACTGCATAACCTTGGTTGTGTTTTATAGTTGTCATTATTTTACACAGGATCACATTATGTCTAGAATTGTCACATCTTTTTTGCACACGATTAAGAGACCTTTTTGTGCAGTGGACTTTATATAATGCTGTTAAATTTAAAAAAAAAAAAATCTGGCAGGAATCTGTATGTTATTTCCTCTGTGTATGAGCTGAGCTGTCTTTAAGTTTTTCTTAGCGATTTTCTCTTTCTTAGAATGTAAAAAAAAAAGATCTGTATGCTTTTCGGTCTCAAAGTCTTTGCTCATCTCTCTGAGATCAAAGATGTTCTTGATTTGATTAGAATTTTTTTCTTTGGTTTTCAAGGCTCAGAAACACGATTCTCAGTCTCTGTATTGGTTCAGTGTGCACTCTTTGACATGTAAATAGTTACCTGTCATTTGATATTGTGTCAATTATTTAAAACTATATATTGTGTCTTTTTCTGTTTCACAGGGGCCCTATTGGTCTAATGCAGTTTCATTTGGGAGTGAGGAGCCAAGACAGATTTTCTTGTGTGGACCTAGTCAAAGAGTACATTAAGCACAAACAGATAGATGAGGTATCATTGACAGCTAGTGCAGATAATATTACAGATTGTATATTGTTGCAGTGTCCTGCCTGGATAGTCGCCCAGGTTTGATGTTTTATTCGACTACGTCTAGGACCATGAATGTGATGTGTTGGTGCCGACACGGTTGTGTATCCCTATACTATATAACTTCTTCTTCTTCTTCTTCTCTTCCACCTTGTACCACATCGAAGTGTCGGGGGGAGATGTAATGTTAGTTGATGAGCTCTGTCAAGAGCACTATTAAGACTGATGTTCATTTCTGTAAGGCTGTTCTTAATGCCATCACTCCATCTTTTTCGAGGTCTTCCACTCGCTCTATACCCGTTGTAACGTTTTAGTGTGTGGCGGATAGTACCAGGGCATTCTTGTTAGGTATCCAAACCACTTTATTTGTTGTTCTTTGATGACCTGTAAGACTGGCTTTATTCCTAGCATTCGTCTGATTTCATGATTTCGTATTCTGTCTTTCCTTGAAACTCCTGCAGCTCTTCTAAGGTATTTCATCTCTGTTGTCACAATTTTACGTTCATTGGAGGATGTAAGTGTCCACGTTTGGCATTGATAGCATAGTGTTGGCCAAAAATTAGTTCTGATAAGATTCACTTTAGTACTCTGAGGTATCTGCTTGTGTGTCAACAGGGGAGATAGTTGACCCATTACTTGATTAGCTTTGGCACGTCTGGAGCTAATTTCTCTGTCCTGTTTTCCGTCGGATGTAAAAATTGCTCCCAAATACTTAAATTCCTCTGTTTGTCTCAGAGTGTTGGTTTTTAATTTAATTTCTAAATTGTCTTTATGCCTTCCTATCATCATTCTCTCTGTCTTCGTAGTGTTAATTTTCAAATTGTATTCCTCCCCTTTGTTACTAATTTGATTTAGGTGGTTCTGTAGGCATTCCGTGTTTTCTGCTATGAGTACCTGGTCGTCAGCGAAAAGTAATTATGTAATATCTTCTTCATGATTAAAGTTTGTTTCGCTACATATGGTATCCATGTATGTTATAAAAAGAAGCGGCGATAGTACGCAGCCCTGACGCACACCAGAGTTCACTATAAAAGTTCTTGACAACCCTGCCTTCGATCTTATGCAGCATTTACTACGTGTGTACAGGCTTTTGCAAATATTAATGAGATGATTGCTGATTCCTTTTTTTCCCCATACATTCCCACAACATATTCCTGTCGACTCTATCTAAGGCATTTTCTTACTATATAACTACACAGAGGTAATCCATTCACTGCACATTACCAATAGAATGTCCATTTATTTGGCAAGCTCCAAGATGAAGTACAACATCTCTTAGGAACATGATGAAAACAACACAAAGTACATACGTTTTTGTGTCCCGTCTCATGTCACGTCCTCTAATATAATGCCACTTATTCAGAGAATCCTCACTTGGCGCACTACACTCTGGGTCCTAAGCTACACATATAAAAGCCCCTTTTACCTATGAAATATTGAAAACATCTGTCTGTCCATCCCGTACGATTTCCTTCTCATCAAGCATGTCGTAGGATGTTAGAATGAGGGTTGGTCATCCTTTCTTCCTTGACTGTTGCTGTTAGACCTCCTATTCTATAGTCATGTCTCCTCCGTCATACTTCTGGTTTTGTCAAACCCAGCTTCCCAGGTGACCGGACTGGTGGTCTTTGATAGAGCCCTAGCACTCTGCGCTCATTGGGGAAGGTTCAAATCTCTGAAGGGTTTCAACTGCGTTTCCTGTGGAGTATTTGCCTGCACTTATTCCTCGGCAGCAGGGACATTATTCTGTAACAATAAAATATTTTATTGTTACCTTGGATTACTGAGCTACCACATAAAAATAGAGTGGTAACTGGGTGTACGTTCACTTTGGTATATGTTCAGCTTGGTATAGTCCTGCTTAGATGCGAAAAGTTGTAATCTGTATGTGACTTGTGTTTGGAATATGACCCCTGTGCTTGAACTTGAGTGAGTCAAAATTGGTCATGGCACTACACCCTATCCTTGTTTACCTCTCTCAAGATAAAGCCCCAGGTGCATATCAATGACAATGCACAGAAATACCACACCAATAAAACCCAAACAAGCCATAATAGCATTGTCTAAAATGACCAGACAGTTGAAATTTTCTTAAAATCCTGACATCAGAGGGGAAAAAAAAACAGGGAAGACCAAGAGAGACTCTGCGTAGAACCATTATCAGGTAAGACTCAGCCATGGGCCCAATGAACATCCAAGACTTAAAACAGGTAGCAACAAACTGTCTGAGATGAACAGCTATGACTTCTGCCCATGGTGCCGCCCTAGGCTCAAGAGGGAAGACTAAAAAACTGAATACCCTGAGGAGAAGGCCAAAGCAAGGTTATTTGGACAGAATTATAGTCAAAGTCAAACCTGAGAAACCTCGATCAGGTCCAAGTAGAGAACAGAAACAGATTTAAAAAAAAAAAACAACAAGAGAAAAAACACAAAAACTTCACATTCCTGAAGTTTTATTGAAAAGGAACTCTCCCTCCAAACATTTCTTTCTCCCCCCTTTACAGCACCATCCTAGTAGGCAGTCGGCTCTTCTCAGGAAAGAGAAATGAGGTTACAATTTCATTTACTGAATCTTATTGCTGTTTATGCATTTTAGTATTAGGCTAAATGAAAATAATTTTATACAACTCTATCAATGTATATAGGATTTGTTCATGTTTGGTATACATCCTGTTTAGTATACATCCTAGGGTCTGGAATTAATCAAGCATGTATACCGAGATACTACTGTTATTGCTACCGTCTGCTCTCTGTGCACATCAAATATGACACAGTACATGGTGCCATTGGATTCGGGCAGTGGCCCACCCTGGGGGCAAATACTAGCTTATCCTGGGAGAAGGAAACACAGCTTGAAAACTGCAGGGCAGACTAGGCCTTAAGTTTTAGTAGGCAGCTGATCTAGAAGGCAAGCTACAATAGCCATACAGGCAAAGAGATCTTTTTTTTTTTTTTCAATTCCAGCATATTCTGCTGGCATGCTTTGGTTTCCAGACATTTTGCTGTTACCTTTCTTTTGGAATAAACAAGGCAAGGCAAGTGAGGAATCATGCTGAATGAGCAACTACGTGGTCTGTACATCATGATCTAGATTTTATGCTGTGGGAGAGAAGGAACTTTATCTCTGGCCTTAATTGATTGGTCTTGGAAGTAAATCAGGAGGCACAAATTATGGATTATAAATCTTTTTCAGCATAGATGAGATGCCACAGGCGACCTGTGAAGGTGGGATACATTTTCAAATGTCACTGATCAGCTCCCGCAAGCTATGCAGCTCCCAGCCAGTAAAGCGGTATGCTTCAGTGGGTGCTTGGACAGGATGTAAATTGCAGGCGGTAAAAAAAAAGAAGAAAATAGAAGAAACAAAAGGGAGGATTAGGAAACTACTCACCAGAAAACCTGCTCTTTGCAGAAGCTACTGCTGTCATAACCCACCATAGGAGGAACTGCAGTGTTTACTGTCTACATTCACTAATGTATGTTTAATATTTTGATTTGACCAATCAGCAAAAAATAAAACATCGATTATGGCGCAGGGTGCTAATGGTAGAGCTGCAGTCCCTATGGGGAGAGACCAAAGAGCTGTTAAAACCAAAAAACACTTGTCTCTGAGGCATGTGTTTTCAGCACGTTTCTTTATGGTAGTGAAACTTTATGATTTAATTTGATTTGATTTAAGAACTGACATCTCACCGCTCGGGGCATCCACATCCTCAGCAGCCAGCGCAGAGTTCCAGTACCAAATAGTTAGTAGCACTCTGATTATGTGTCCGACTTGCCTTTCCTCTGAGCGTCAAGCATCAGCCAGAGCTCCTTGTCACTCCTTGCTGCATTACTCTCACCGGACTCTGATGATCAATTTGCTTTTCCAAATCGTACACATGCTCTCATAAGGCTTAACCATGTCTGCCTATAGTCTGTATCACTATTCCACCAAGATGTGCAGAGCCAGCCAATCTGTTACTTGGGTCGACTTATTCATACGGCTAACTCATTTTTACATGCAGTGCTTAAGAAGAGTACTTGGCATTAGGTGGCAAGACAGCCCAAACACTGAGGTATTGGAAAGAACACCAATACCCAGTCTTTGAAGGCTCAGGTGGTTAGGACACACTTTGAGGATTGAGGATAATGTTTGAATAATTGTGAACTATTCAACCACCTTGTATTAATTTTGAACAGTGTTGTTTGTGTGTGTATCAGTAATAAACAATGAACATTATCTGTGCCGTCAGGCAGTCAGCTTGCTGTCCAGCATTAACTGGGATGTTGAGGGGCAGGCATGTTACTCTTGTCTATCTGCTATCATGAATCATCTTCTACGGATACCCTTGAATGCAGAAAGGGAAGGTAAAACACAATTCTTCTTCTGTGTTTTGTACACATTAGGCATCTTAACCATACAGTAATTACTTTAGTCATTGTCTTGTTATGTTTTGATATTTGTACATTTCTGTTGGGCATGCACATTTTGTATTCAGTTTCATGTTGACTGGTTCACATTAGGAACAATCAATCATTCATGGTGCATTGTTTGGCTCCCAGGAAGAATAGCCTAATCATTCTTCATGCATTGTTTGGTTCCCTGGAAGAATAGCCCAATCACTTATGGTGCATTGTTTGGTTCCAAGGAAGAATAGCCCAGTTACTCATGGTGCATTGTTTGGTTCCAAGGAAGAATAGCCTAGTTACTCATGGTGCATTGTTTGGTTCCAAGGAAGAATAGCCCAGTTACTCATGGTGCATTGTTTGGTTCCAAGGAAGAATAGCCCAGTTACTCATGGTTCATTGTTTGGTTCCAAGGAAGAATAGCCCAGTTACTCATGGTGCATTGTTTGGTTCCAAGGAATAAAAGCTTAATCACTCATGGTGCATTGCTTTGCTACTAGGAAGAATAGCCCAGTCACTCATAGTGCATTGCTTGGTCCAAGGAAGAATAGCCTTGGGAAGAATAGCACAGTCACTCATAGTGCATTTCTTGGTTCTTGGGAAGAATAGCCCACTCACTCATGGTGCATTGCTTGGTTCTTGGGAAGAATAGCCTAGTCACTCATGGTGCATTGCTTGGTTCTTGTAAAGAATAGCCCAGTCACTCATGGTGCATGCTTGGTTCTTGGGAAGAATAGCCCAGTCACTCATGGTGCATTGCTTGGTTCTTGTAAAGAATAGCCCAGTCACTCTGTGACGTTACGGCCCACTCCCCTGAGATTACAACACTTTTAGTGTGACGTCCCGGGTCGTGGGTTCTCTGGATTTGGGTTTAAATAATTTATATGTTGAGTAGGGATTTTCCTCTCAACACATCCCCTCCACCAGATTAACTGAACTATTATCTGGGCTATGTTGCTCTCAGACAAAGTCCTGGATATCCAAGAAAACACCCATATTGGCTCGTTATTTATATTAACTTTAGCTGAACTTGGTACCCACAAGAGAAGGAAATGGGTTTTAGATGTCTATATATTATTATCTTGAATGATTCACTAGACAGGGCAGATGACCCAATCCGTCGACCTTCTCTTGGTAAAGAAATTTTATTATTATTTAATGAGCCCCCACCAAATGCTATTCTATCTTAACAGTTTAATTAAACAGGTAAGAACAGACACACTTGGAATTACAAAAACTGATGCAGGATAAGACCATATAATTGATTTATTAACCTAGCAATAATTTTGATTATTTATATTTTTAGTCAATAGTGATGGTATGGTGGTAATGGGATACTTCAGCTTGATAACTGAGCCCCTAAGATAAGAATAAATGATAATGGTGGTGTTTAGTTACATAAATACATGTTACAAAACTTTAGAAAGTGGAACCTCTGAGAGTACTCGTGTTGAGTCCCTTCTTAGCTGTTCCAATCTTTCCGCCCAGTTCTCCTGGTCCTTCCACCTGGTTCCCTGGTTCCCACCTGTTTCCCAGCTGGCCGAGTTCTAGCACAATGTAGTCTCGTGACCGTGATGACCCTCTATTTCTGTTCTTAGAAAAGACTGATCCTCACCCACATGGGAGCTGCAATAATGGAAACAAACACATACGTGTAGTATCTTGACTTACACTAAGAATACATGTGTCAATTAATACACTATATAATAATACATTATATCTCATCACTCCTCCTCATATTCCACATTCTCTCCAGTCTGTTCTGAAGGTCTTTGTGTCTCACACCGACGTCTCACATATCCTGCCTTCCCTCTAAGGTTCTGTCATGATAGTTGACTTTCTGTTGTCCGTCATCACTCAGACTTCCAACTTGCTGACATTGATTTGACATAAACATGTGGCGCAGGTTATGTGCTGAACACGCCAAACATTTTATACGAGCATGCTGTCCTGAATATTATCTTTCAGTGACAGTGAATAATATACACTCATGATTCTTCCCCTGGGGTTATAAATCCCCTGTTTAGGTGAACACATTAGGTGAGCACATGGTGGGCACACAAAACGTAACAGCATAGCTGCATATGTGGGCATCATTTCCCACAGTCCAAACTCATGTTTTGGTTGATGGTTCAAACATTATAATTTCATTACATTTCAGTATACAAGTCTTATTTCATAAACATGAAAACATACACTGAAAAACATGTGCCACAAACATACAAGAAATAGAAATAGTTTAGCAGTTCCCTAACTGAGATACTGAATACTCACAAAGAACTATTTCAAGCAGAATGTGTAGACAAATTAGGAAAAGGTAGAATAGATTTTAGCTAACTCCCTAACCTATGTATACAAGATTTGAAAATAATTGTACATGCTTACCTGGAAACTTCCAGCAATCGCCAAACTAGAATCAAACCATTAGATTTACCTCTAAGGTCGACCTGTTTGTTGCTTGTGGCAGCGATTATGACGGCAATTCCAGGGCTTGTCTTATTAATACCTCTATCTGTCTGCAAGGTTAAACTCCACCCTCTACTAGGTTCTACCCAACCCTCAAGGAGATGACTTAAGCCCCGCCTCTGAGGTACTTATCAGATCAACCTAGCTATCAAGGGGCCTGTCACTCACAGTGAACGGCCGACAGTACGACCTTGACCAAGATTAGACATTCCTAATTGCCAAACACCTGTTCTCTTGAGAATTACACTGACGTGCGAAACTCCAGACGCTGGACGCCATCCTGTCTAGAAATGTCTATCAGACCACTAATTCCCCTGATTCAGTTTGATCAAACGGCCCCACTCAGTGTGTGTTATGTAATTTTTATGACACTACGGCCGGGTTCAGGGGAGCTAATCTTCAGGTGTGATACGAAGTTATCTCCCCCTTTACTCGCCTCTACAGACTGGGCAGGAGATAATTATATGACATGGGCATGTGAAACTCTAGCTACAGTAGTATTCCGTAATATTACATAAAGCAAGGTTGCTTTGTCTGGCAAGAGACTGGAAACACAGTTTAAACAATTCTCAAATTCCTTGTAGTGGTTTTAGAACTATTTTAGGTTCAGTGTCTATTGCTTATAATTCTTTGTCCTTCTCTGAACATAAGAAATTATTAAACACAAAATAACTTCTGAGACCACTGAGGTCATTTCGTCACACACTCATGGTGCATGCTTGGTTCTTGTGAAGAATAGCCCAGTCACTCATGGTGCATTGCTTGGTTCTTGGGAAGAATAGCCCAGTCACTCATGGTGCATTGCTTGGTTCTTAGGAAGAATAGCCCAGTCACTCATGGTGCATTGCTTGATTCTTGGGAAGAATAGCCCAGTCACTCATGGTGCATTGCTTGGTTCTTGTGAAGAATAGCTTAATCACTCATGGTGCAATGCTTGGTTGACAGAAATAATTAGAAGACTGAGCAAGACACATAGATGTACAGTATAGGCTGCAGGCAATAGAGATCTTTACAAGTTAGTTAATTCTGTTATTATAAACACTGTGAGCAACTAGGTTTAGAATATAAGGAAACCAAGAATAGGTCCACTTAACATTTTAAAGGAACAGAGACTAGAGCCACTGCCTTCCCCCCCCCCCTCTCCCCCCCTAACAAGAATATTGTAAAAGTCAGCTAATGAGGAGTTTGCTGAAATTTGATGTTTTGGGCTCACTCACTTATTGGATCCTCTTCTACCTTGGGGTGTAGAGCTTTCCAGAGAGATTGCCAGATTTCTCTAAGAGGAGTTTTATTTTGGGTTTTGTTCCATTCCAGGCCTCTGTCAGTCAGGGACTGTCAGAAGTTGTCGTTTCAGCAAACCTTGGTGGTCTGGCACCCTGGTTCTGGGCCTCCTATATGGTCGATTCTCTCCTATTGTGTAAAAATATCCAAACCATCATAATTGTGACTGATGAACTCAAGTGTGTAATGCCTGCTTTTCAAAATCATGACATATTGTCGGGTTGTGAACTGTATGAGCAGTTGTCTGATTTGCACTTGTAGGTCAGGTCTAGCACACAGGTAAAGCAGTAAACAGCCATTTTCATCCTCTTGCTAATTTCTCTTTTGCTGAGAAACTCTCGGTTTATGGCCTGGAAAAGTCTCCAGCTTTTTGAGTAGCCAGCTCAGTCTTAATTCATCCATTTCAGTCTGTTACAGATCCAAGGTATTTGAACTGGTTAACCAGCTCCATGGCATATTGTCCTATCATGATCAGATTTCTTATTCACTCTTGAGATCACTGTAGTTTTGGAGATACTGATGGTCATCCCTCTCTTCTCAAGCTCTACCTTTCAGACAAGTAGACTGGATTGTAGATGTAGATGTGCCTCTGATTTTGTTTTGGGCTAAAAGGCAAAGATATTGCCTGATTATGACCAATAGCTAACTATAAAACCTTCATGTGTTAACCGCTCTTTTGAGGGTGGACACAGAATAAGAAAATGTAGACAGTTTGGATATTTTGGACATACAATAAGATTTTTGTTTTAATGTACACTTACAAATTTAGTGACAGTTGGCAGCTGTAGTGGGAGAAGAGCAAGAGAAAGAGAATTACATGGGTGACTTTGCCAGATGTCTTTATCAGGATAAGAAAACAGGCCTTTTACTCTAGTAATCATTCAAGATTCTGAACCATTACTCTTGCTAACCAGCATTGCACATAATAGTGATGATGGTACGGATTTTAACTGTTAACATACAAAGAAGCCTTTCCACTTACAGCTTTCCCATACGTGCTCCAAGGAGAGGCAGAACCAACACTTTCGCTTGGGTCCACTTTGTCCATAACTGTCACTTTTCCATAAAGACCACTTTTATAAGATACATCGTTAATGCTGTGGGCTGTTTCCATGCCTTGCACAAACATTTAGGTCTGGATATGAACAGATTAACTAAAAATAGCATTTGAGAGGGTTTTTCTTGAATAATGAGTGTAAAGTCCTATGATGTCACAAGGGGGTACCCCTGTGGGATAGGTCAGTAGTTGAAAGGCCAGTTAAAAAAGAATCACTTGGAAAGCGTTTCTCAAGAAGGATTGTGAGTCCATATGAATGAGTAGGATTGTAGGAAATCTTATGATGGGAAGTGGAGAATTGGATGTGTGAAAGGAGGAATGATCGTTTGGTTTAAACAAGGATGAGAGAATGTTGTCTGCGTGATTGAAGAGTTGGAGTAAAAGAACTGTTATGTTAGTGAATACTTGGACGGCACAACTGATGAACAACTTACATCTGTAAATATGTCGGTGGAACGCTGAGCAAATCTTATGGTGTGTACTTGAGTAGAAAACCGTGAAGGTCAACCCTGATTTTGTAAATAATCTGATGGCTGTCACAGCTGATTCGAGAGTATTTCCTGTAAGCAACGAAACCTAGACGGTGATCAAAAGGCCGCGACTGTACCTGTATGAATTAGTCAAAAAACAACATATATTTAATCGTGACTTTTGTGTTGGTACAGTCAGAATGGCAAGACATAGAGACTTTGTAAGTCTCTGGGAACTGTAATGAAGAATATAAATAGTAGCAGCATTACACCTTTGAACCAGTTAGCTTTTTTTAAAGCGAAGTTGACATCAGATTTTGCCCATAAGCCTCAATGATAGAGGTCATGGGCTCACATCTTGAGTCACCGAGTACATATGTATTAGGCTTAGGAAATGTTTTCTATTTAATGCTTCACTCTGTTTATGTTTATTAATTACTCCCTTCATATGTCTTTCTTTATTTTGAAGAAAAATGTAACAATGAAGATAAATAAATTGTTAATGTATTTATTAGTGACCTTATTGTTTTAAAAAGGATTTTGTCTAAAATTTTATGACCCATCAATTTTTTAATGTTCTGTTGCAAGAAGGTTAATAGTCATATCCCTTCCTTTTGACCCAGTTACAAAATGATTGATTGATATGTTTTTTTTTTAATGTATTGAGTTTTAATATCTATTTGTTGCTGTTTCCAGATCAGATACAAACAGCCTTAGCAACATTCTATGCACCAAAGCCACCAATTTCTGAAGATACAATTCTTGAGTATCGAGATGCTGTCAGCCAGCTTGCCCGCAGGTTCTTTCATCACTTGTTGAGGTTTGTTGATGAGGCATTTGTTCACTTCTCAGTTTGAAAATGTTTAAACCAGCAATGAGTTCTTCTGTGGGTTCTGGGGTCCCATTGTGGGGAAAACAAGAATAGACCCACCTACTCCCCAACAAGCATGTTGTAAGAGTAGACAAATAAGGGGTTGTCTCTGAGTCAGAGTGCATCTGCCTGAGAGGCAAGGAATCAACAGTCTGCATACAGATAAGTTAGATTTGCTAAACAGATATGCACGAAACACTCAGGTTCTGAAACAAGTCTAAAGTCCAGAGGTGGATGAACAACCAGAACTTTCGCTGCAGTTTTTTTGAATATCAAGAAGAAGGAGAAGAAGTCTAGCAACGAGTGATGACACTGGTTCAGGATATAGACAGCACAACTCTTCCCTTGTGTGTCATTAATAGACAACTGTGCAAAAATCTCATCTTCAACTACTGTTGAGTTTTTTGTGTATTGGTCATAAGATGTTTCATGTAAGGTAAACAATTTTTAAAGGCCAAAAGGATGGCTTTATCGCACCAGGTCACACCACATCACATGACTTGAGACCCCTACACAGAGTGGCTAGTTGTCAACTTCAAAGGTTGCACAAAGCACAAGCTCCAGTGATGACCGTGAGTGATCTTCAGAACACCTGCACTTTTGAACTTAATAACTGGGTCCAAAGGTGATCCTTCAACCTTCAGAGCATGAGGCAAACACCTTAACCACTTTTGCAAGAAGACCTCATGGTTTTATTCTGTTCTCAAAGTTCAATAATAAACTACAAATGTTACAATTTAGAAACAGTTTTGAAAATTGATCGCTGCTAAAGCACAAATTAACAACCAAGGCTTGGGTCGGTAAACATTCTTGAAACAACTTGATTTGTCAGTCAAGTACTTTTCTCCTGATGCATCAGGCATGTGATGTTATGTATCACTGAATGAGTCATATGGTCAGTACAATGCCTGTGACTTTCACTTCCCAACACATGAACTATCACATTTATTTAAGGCTGGTTGACTTGAGATTCCAGGTCAATTATTTTAAATATTGTATTCCTAAAATGTGGGAAAAAAGGCCCTTAATAATTTTTATTTTGTTGACTAATGTTATTTTATCAAATGTTATCATATCAAAGAAACGAATTATTCCTAATTGTGTAATAAAAGTTGATGGTGTTATTTTAGGACAAGTACAGAAATTTAAGTATCTGGGCACATGGATAACATCAGATGGAAGATGCATAACTGAGATAAGAAACAGAATAGGACATGCAAAAACTGCATTTTATAAAATGAAAAACATCTTGTGCAATATATCCTTGTCATTGAGAGTTAGAAAAAGAATTCTTGCTTACTACATACATCCAGTTTTAACATATGGCTGTGAATCCTGGACAATAGGTAGGCAGGCCAAACAATTCCTGGAGGCCTCGGAGTTGTGGTTTTACAGAAGAATGCTTAGAATACCTTGGACAGCCAAAAGGAGCAACCAAGAGGTTTTGAAAGAGGCGGGAGCCCAAAGACAACTTATCACAGACATCAGAAGGAGACAGTCATCATTTTTCGGCCATGTTATGAGAAGAGGGAAAATAGAACATGTTGTGACCACTGGAAAGATATGTGGAAGGAGAGATAGAGGTAGACAACGAGAGAAGATGCTTGACAGTCTTGTTGCATGGCATGGAGGTGTGTCGGCACACGAAGTGATACATGCTGCAGGAGATCGCAGATTATGGAGAGGCATGATCGCCCACGCCAGTCCGCAAGGCACCTGATGATGATGAATGTTATTTTAATGTATGTTTTATGTTCACAGGTATGTGAGATTTGATAAAGCATTTCTTCTAGCAGTGGATATTGGTGCCCGGGACCTGTTCATGGTGAGTGGAAGTGTCCTGATGTTGTCATCAAAGCTTTTCACCAAATGATGTACTGAGAGTTATGCCTGTAGTTGAAGAAATGTAGATTTAAAAATTCTCTATTTTAATCATTTGTATTCACTCATAATCTTCTTCTTCTTCTTCCAAGCCCTTGAGATTCATTGCTAAGTGTTTGCAGGTCTGTCTGGAAGTTATCTCTCCATCATCTTCTTGGTCTGGCTCGTGGTTTAGGTACCCTTCAGCTCCCTTGTGTTTACAGTTTTCACTTCTCTGTCACCTGACACCTCTCTTAGTATGCCCAAGCCATTTCAGTCTATTAGCTCTCATGATGCCAGTAATCACTGGTGATTTTTACAGATTATGAATTTTGTTCTTGCTTCTCACTCTCCATTTCTCGCATTTTGCATCTTTGATGAGTTCAAAGATTCGTCGTAATACTATGTTTTCGAAAATTCACTTAAATTTACAATTCTTTTTAAAAAAAAACAAAATTCTAAATTTGATTGTGCTGGTGGTATCATTTCCCAAGTCTAGAGTTCAGTGTACATATAGCCCATACATCAAGCTTGTATGTACCAAGCAGGTTGTTAGGGTCTTATGTAGTCTTTATACTTCCATGGTTCTTGTGTTTTCATGCATATATAGCTGAAATCTTTCCCCTTTATCCATTACCAGTGTCCTGACAACTGGTGCTTGTGAAGCTAACATTTTAGCTCTCTCATTATCTTGTATGTTTTGATTAAACCCCATGTAAGCCCTTTCTCCCGAACATGTCTATAAGGATCTGATTACATTGTCCAGAGTGAGTGTTTAGTTAAACACAAATTAGCATTAGTAATTACAAAAACTATTTTCATCAAGATATACATTACATGGCAGCAGGCAAATCTTCTTCTTCTTCTTTGCGTTCACCAGCTGTAAACTCTGGCGGACGGTTCTGGTTGCTCGTCTACTACTGAACTGCAGTCCTGCTCCAGAACCTGAGTGTTGCGTGTGCATCAGTTTTACAGATCTCATTCTCTTGAATACAGACTGTTGGTTCCTTGCCTCTCCGGCAGACGCACTCCGTCTTCAAAGGAAGCTCCCCAATTAGTTGACTCTTACAACATGCTTTTGGGGAGGCAGTGGGTCTATTCTTGTTTTCCCCACAATGGGGCCCCGGAACCCATACAGGGGTGCAGGCAAATGATATTATGTAACACTAAATGTTTTCTTTAAGGCAAATAGGTAATGATAGTTACAAAAACTGTCTTCATCAGGATATACATTACATGGCAGCAGACAAAGGGGAGATAGCTCTGGCAGAAGTTGCCAAACGAAAAGCTCATGAGATAGAGTTTGATGGCCTTGGTGAGTGTACACAGTTTGGCTTCAGTCTTTTATCGACCATATTAACAATAGATTGCTTGATTTTATAGTCTTTGCTGAATTTATTATTAATCTTTTATTGTCTGATGTTTTTGATCATTCTTATAAATGATTTGATATCTTTTATGAGGCTTAATCTAAGATTTAAAATAAGAAAGACTAAACTGTACATGATTTTTACCTAAAATTTCACTATTTCTATTGCCAAAAATTAATATATTACTGAATCAAGGACAATGCAGTGGTTGGGACATGTCTGTCACATGGAATACGGTCAGATTCCAAAAGGATCTCATGTATGCTGAACTGGTAACAGGGATAAGACCTGCAGGAAGGCCAAAGCTATGCTATAAGGGCAAATACAAATGTGACCTGAAAGATATCAACATTAACACTGACACTGGGAGATATCAGCTGCAGACTCACTGCTTTGAAGGCAGACGGTGAAAGATGGACTGTCGCAGTTTGAAAGAGGCCAAACGCAGAAAGCCTTAGAGAGAAAACCAACCCCAGAATGACAGAGCATCAGTTTTATGTGGACTACGTGGCAGAGGCACACCACTGAGACTGCCACTTCTGCAGTGGACTTGACAGTCATGGCAGACGCTGTTCCCAAAACCAACAGTACCACTCCATGGTCTCCAGGGACTCACAGTTGCTTCTGAGTTCGAAAAAAAAAAAAAACAACAATCACACACTCTCACCTATTCACCCAAACACACATATTCAGGCACACATGCACATACACACGCCCCCCTCTCCTGCACATATGCATGCACACGCACACACACAGTATGTATTTTTAACTTTTTTTTCTCTTCATTGAATGAAGTTTCTGTAGTCGTGATCTTTATTCCCTTGGCCTTAATTTTTGTGAACTATATAGCAAATGAGTTTTCTATACAGCTTATAAAAGAACATCACAGTAAGTAGAAGCTTCAAAGTTCCCATGATAATCCCCAAGGATCTCCTAAACAGTGGCACTAATGAACCAATGATTGAGTCTAAACCAGTGTTTCCCGAATTGAGCATTATTGCACCCACCCTACCCTCCCTATCACCCCACCTCTCCTCCCTTCCCCCGGGTGGTGGCGACCTCGATCCATTGGGGGGGGAGGGGGGGGAGGGGGGTGCTGAGATGCTCAAGAGATAGTAGCAGACTCAGGTGCAGGTGGGAAGCACTGGATAAAAAATATGCTAGTGTGAGAGAGAGAGAGAGAGAGCGAGGAGAGAACGAACGAACAAACTTTATTTTCAAAGGGTTACAAATTAGGCATGCAGGCCTGTCTTACATTCGGCCCTTCCAAACTCTCATCTCTTTCAAACAGCAGTTGTATTTAATCAATAAAGCATGGGTGGTAAAATATGTGCGCACGCTCGCGCGTGAACACACACACCCACATACACACACTTTGGCACACAATACACACACATACATCCACATACATAAGAACATGCACACACATATATACATACATACACACTGTCACCCACACAGACATGCGCTCTAAAACACATACGCATACAACCCAGACACATATAGACACGTGCAGCTATTCACACACACACATAGCCGCACAAAAAGACCTATACAAACACACACGTCCGACGCACACAGACATAAACCCACACAGACACACACACATACACACATGTAGCCGCACAAAAAGACCCATACAAACACACACACTGATGCACACAGACACGCACGCATGCATGCAGTCACAGTCACACACACACACACACAAACACATACACACACGCAGGCAGGGAAACACACAGATACACACACAGGCACGCATAGTCACACATACGCACACAGACATACAGGCAGACGCATAAACCAAAACAAATAGAGACACCCAGACATCGTATAATAGATACACCAATAGAGACACACACAGATACACACAATGCCACACACACAGTCACTCACAGCCACAGACAGACAGATACAAACACAGACACATAATGGCACACACACACATACATACAAATACACTCACAGATGCACAAACTCTCACACAGACACACACAGGCGCACACACATTCTCAAAAAGACACACACACAGATACCCACGAAGCCACACACACACAGACACGAGCAGACATTATATAATAGACACACCCATAGAGACTCACACAGACACACACAAAGCCACACACACAGACGCACGCAGCCACAGACACAGATACACATGCAGCCACACACACAGACACACCTACAGACACATAATGGCACACACACACAGAGACATACACACACATACTAACACACCCATCGACGCACAAATGCTTGCATAGACACACACACGCAGATGCGCACACACTGAAAATTTTGCCATTGTTGATGTTAAGGTGCCAGTTGTCTGTTATTTTTGTCAATGCAGTTTGACAAGAGTGTTTAGGTCTGAACCCTGACTGGCTATCAACTAATGTTGAGAGAGAGAGAGGGGGGAAGGGAGAGAGAGAGAGAGAGAGAGAGAGAGAGAGAGAGAGAGAGAGAGAGAGAAGAGAGACAGAGAGAGAGAGAGAGAGAGAGAGAGAGAGAGAGAGAGAGAATGATTGCTTAGTTTTAAAATAAACAAAGAAATTATGTTTTAACCAGTCAGATTCATCCTTCTCGTGAAAGAATATGTTATTCTTTAGTTTTGTTTAATATTTCCATACTTCAACACTGAGTAGAAGGATGGCCTGAGCTTAAACTTCTATGAGTAGCAGCTGCAACACGTATTTTGGAATAAGAGACTATCTGTACCTACAATTTGACAGAATTGAAATAGTTAGCATCTTTAGCTATACTGATTGTTCAGCTGTTCAGTCAGTCAAACAGATAGGGGGTCTGTCAGAGCAGTGTAAAAGAGCCGAGGTTCTTCATGATTTACATGTCATTACTAAATGGTGTCACTAAGGCTGCAGCACAGCCTACCTGAAGGTCAAACATACAAAACCAGTGCTCATCAAAGACTTTGCTGTTTAGATGGCTGCTGAAAATACTACAACAGCCTTCTACCGCATCAAAAGTTAGTTGAGAAAGTAGAGAACTGTGCAAAAAGTTGGGGTGAAAAACTTTCACTGACCTTTTCATCTTTTGAGACGAAAGGTTATTTTTTGTTATAGAAAGACATATTCTCTTCTTCTTCACGCTCACAGGCTGTAAACTCCAGCGGTTTCAGAACCTGAGTGTTGCATGTGCATCCATTTGACAGATCTGACTAATTTGTGTGCAGACTGTTGGTTCCTTGCCTCTCAGGCAGTTGCACTTCGACTTCAATTAGTCGACTCTTACAACATACTTTTCACAACCTGGTCATCATTATAGAGGCCAGGTGTTGCTCATGCAGCATGATGCCTTGCTCAGCATGATCCGTTTACTCAAATTGAAATGGTGCCACCAATAGCTTGAAACAAAGCATGCTGCAGATGCTTACAGATCAGGAAAGCATTGTTCTGTCCATCTACCTGTCAGAGCTTCCCTTACAGGTCAACTGCCAACAAAGGCTATGGCAAGACGTCTCCATCTGACAGGCTATACTGCTGAAGTCAGCAGCATGCCCTGTCAGATGGAGACGGTCTTGCCTGCCACAGCTGTTTCAGGTTTAATTTCCTCTTCCTAGTAAGGATAGTTGTCTCCTTTTTGCACTTCTCCGTCCGAAGTTGCTGGCACAATGTGGAATGACAGGGTTGGATATGAATGGGCTTATGAAAAACACACTGAGTACCTTTATAGACAGTATAAATCCCTTACTTTGAAAATTGTTATAGACTTCCAAACAATGTGCTCAATCATATATTTTAAGAAGGCAAAACTATAAAGAAGAAGTAAAAATCATTTTGCAAGAAAAACTTTGACACGATCTGCAAACATAAAAACTGACATAATGATGCGTGAAATTCTCACACAAGAACTATGGATTAACAGTCCGTTCTTAATCAGTTTTGTTCTTGAAGTCCCTGGAATAATCACAGAAAAGGAAAACAGAATCAGAACAAAGAGCTTTTTCACTTTATTTATCCATATATCAGTATCTCTCCAATATTTGGTATGTTCACAGACAGTTTTGGTAATGAAGCTATAAAAAACAGGAGTGGGTGAATCCACTTTACACACATTAATCGCAACACAGAGATGCACTCAGTATCCAGCTTGCATCAGATTAACAGCTGAGGTAGTGACCCTCCTTTGAACTGAGCAGAATCCCAATATTCCAGTGTAACTCAATAAAAAGCTGTCAAATGCACATAGTAAAACTAGTCCTGCAAGCCAGCTCATGCTCTAAAAAAGTCAGCATTAACTACAACATTTACAAACATAAACCAGAACGCTGTTCACAAGAACAGGTCAAATCCAGTGGCAAATTCAAGGCCATTATAGATTGCTAGAAACAGAATAGCAGAGCTTATGAAGAATGCGGAAAACCTAATGCCATCCCATCTGTTTCAGTGCTTTTGAAGGCTGTAGAAAACCTCATGCAGTCCCATCTGTCTCAGAGCTTATAAAGGCTGCGGAAAACCTTAAGCAGTCCTATCTGTCTCAGAGCTTATGAAGGCTGTGGAAAACCTCATGCAGTCCAATCTGTCTCAGAGCTTATGATGGCTGTGGAAAACCTCATGCAGTCCCATCTGTCTCAGAGCTTATGAAGGCTGTAGAAAACCTCATGCAGTCCTATCTGTCTCAGAGCTTATGAAGGCTGTAGAAAACCTCATGCAGTCCTATCTGTCTCAGAGCTTATAAAGGCTGTAGAAAACCTTATGCAGTCCTATCTGTCTCAGAGCTTATGAAGGCTGTGGAAAACATGCAGTCCCATCTGTCTCAGAGCTTATGAAGGCTGCGGAAAACCTCATGCAGTCCTATCTGTCTCAAAGCTTATGAAGGCTGCGGAAAACCTCATGCAGTCCTATCTGTCTCAGAGCTTATGAAGGCTGCGGAAAACCTTAAGCAGTCCCATCTGTCTCAGAGCTTATGAAGGCTGCGGAAAAACCTCATGCAGTCCTATCTGTCTCAGAGCTTATGAAGGCTGCGGAAAACCTTAAGCAGTCCCATCTGTCTCAGAGCTTTTGAAAGCTGCGGAAAACCTCATGCAATCCTATCTGTCTCAGAGCTTTTGAAGGCTGCGGAAAACCTCATGCAGTCCAATCTGTCTCAGAGCTTATGAAGACTGCGGAAAACCTCATGCAGTCCCATCTGTCTCAGAGCTTATGAAGTCTGCGGAAAACCTCATGCAGTATAATCTGTCTCAGAGCTTATGAAGGCTGTGGAAAATCTCATGCAGTCCCATCTGTCTCAGAGCTTATGAAGGCTGCAGAAAACCCCATGCAGTCCTATCTGTCTCAGAGCTTATGAAGGCTGCGGAAAACCTCAAGCAGTCCCACTTGTCTCAGAGCTTATGAAGGCTGCGGAAAACCTCATGCAGTCCTATCTGTCTCAGAGCTTATGAAGGCTGTGGAAAACCTCATGCAGTCCCATCTGTCTCAGAGCTTATGAAGGCTGTAGAAAACCTCATGCAGTCCTATCTGTCTCAGAGCTTATGAAGGCTGTAGAAAACCTCATGCAGTCCTATCTGTCTCAGAGCTTATAAAGGCTGTAGAAAACCTTATGCAGTCCTATCTGTCTCAGAGCTTATGAAGGCTGTGGAAAACATGCAGTCCCATCTGTCTCAGAGCTTATGAAGGCTGCGGAAAACCTCATGCAGTCCTATCTGTCTCAAAGCTTATGAAGGCTGCGGAAAACCTCATGCAGTCCTATCTGTCTCAGAGCTTATGAAGGCTGCGGAAAACCTTAAGCAGTCCCATCTGTCTCAGAGCTTATGAAGGCTGCAGAAAACCTCATGCAGTCCTATCTGTCTCAGAGCTTATGAAGGCTGCGGAAAACCTTAAGCAGTCCCATCTGTCTCAGAGCTTATGAAGGCTGCGGAAAACCTCATGCAGTCCAATCTGTCTCAGAACTTATGAAGGCTGCGGAAAACCTCATGCAGTCCAATCTGTCTCAGAGCTTATGATGGCTGTGGAAAACCTCATGCAGTCCCATCTGTCTCAGAGCTTATGAAGACTGCGGAAAACCTCATGCAGTCCCATCTGTCTCAGAGCTTATGAAGTCTGCGGAAAACCTCATGCAGTCCAATCTGTCTCAGAGCTTATGAAGGCTGTGGAAAATCTCATGCAGTCCCATCTGTCTCAGAGCTTATGAAGGCTGCAGAAAACCCCATGCAGTCCTATCTGTCTCAGAGCTTATGAAGGCTGTGGAAAATCTCATGCAGTCCAATCTGTCTCAGAGCTTATGAAGGCTGCGGAAAACCTCAAGCAGTCCCACTTGTCTCAGAGCTTATGAAGGCTGCGGAAAACCTCATGCAGTCCTATCTGTCTCAGAGCTTATGAAGGCTGTGGAAAACCTCATGCAGTCCCATCTGTCTCAGAGCTTATGAAGGCTGTAGAAAACCTCATGCAGTCCCATCTGTCTCAGAGCTTATGAAGGCTGTAGAAAACCTCATGCAGTCCCATCTGTCTCAGAGCTTATGAAGGCTGTAGAAAACCTCATGCAGTCCTATCTGTCTCAGAGCTTATGAAGGCTGTAGAAAACCTCATGCAGTCCTATCTGTCTCAGAGCTTATAAAGGCTGTAGAAAACCTTATGCAGTCCTATCTGTCTCAGAGCTTATGAAGGCTGTGGAAAACATGCAGTCCCATCTGTCTCAGAGCTTATGAAGGCTACGGAAAACCTCATGCAGTCCTATCTGTCTCAAAGCTTATGAAGGCTGCGGAAAACCTCATGCAGTCCTATCTGTCTCAGAGCTTATGAAGGCTGCGGAAAACCTTAAGCAGTCCCATCTGTCTCAGAGCTTATGAAGGCTGCGGAAAACCTCATGCAGTCCTATCTGTCTCAGAGCTTATGAAGGCTGCGGAAAACCTTAAGCAGTCCCATCTGTCTCAGAGCTTTTGAAAGCTGCGGAAAACCTCATGCAATCCTATCTGTCTCAGAGCTTTTGAAGGCTGCGGAAAACCTCATGCAGTCCTATCTGTCTCAGAGCTTATGAAGGCTGCGGAAAACCTCATGCAGTCCAATCTGTCTCAGAACTTATGAAGGCTGCGGAAAACCTCATGCAGTCCAATCTGTCTCAGAACTTATGAAGGCTGCGGAAAACCTCATGCAGTCCTATCTGTCTCAGAGCTTATGAAGGCTGCGGAAAACCTTAAGCAGTCCCATCTGTCTCAGAGCTTTTGAAGGCTGCGGAAAACCTCATGCAATCCTATCTGTCTCAGAGCTTTTGAAGGCTGCGGAAAACCTCATGCAGTCCTATCTGTCTCAGAGCTTATGAAGGCTGCGGAAAACCTCATGCAGTCCTATCTGTCTCAGAGCTTATGAAGGCTGCAGAAAACCTCATGCAGTCCAATCTGTCTCAGAACTTATGAAGGCTGCGGAAAACCTCATGCAGTCCAATCTGTCTCAGAACTTATGAAGGCTGCGGAAAACCTCATGCAGTCCTATCTGTCTCAGAGCTTATGAAGGCTGCGGAAAACCTTAAGCAGTCCTATCTGTCTCAGAGCTTTGAAAAACTAAAGACACTCTTAAAACAATCTATGAAGTTGAACTGGAGAGAAGACTACGCAGAGAAGACTACACAAATTACAGACCAGAGCATGTAGTCCGGCGAGGAAAGAAAGACGATACAAAACAAATTGCTATTATATCACTCTTTTTTGTTTGATTACAGAAGGGATTTTTACAAGGCAAGGAATAAATGAACTCAAGAACTTGGCAACAACTAGCAAAACTTATAGAAAGAGGACAGGGCTAAAGCAAAGATATAAATACCTTGATCACTTGGCCACATGCTTGGGGTGGGGCAAGAGCATAACCTGATTCAAAGATTCTGTTGATCTTGTGGGATGGCAAATGGTGTGTAGGATGGCAAATGATGACCACCTTGGCTTTTTGGCATGCACATGATGATGATAATATTTACAAGGTGAGGGCAGTGCTGGGCGATTTTGTCACTGAATAGGGGGCTGTGGGCCCCCAAGCAAGTTTGGGAAACACTGGTCTAAACCGAACCCACAACTGTAGATGAGAAAGGCAAACGGCTTTTGACTTTTTGTTCTCATTTTGTATTGTCAGTCTTTCTGCAAAAAAAAAATTATCTATGTGTTTTTTTTTTTTTTTACAAAGAGAGTAGAATATCCAGTTCATTTTTCTTAGTGTAGGGAGGATAAAACATTCTTGATTTTATCTGTTAAGAAAATCTACGACAGCTGGATTTGACTGCAGGTTTTCTGGTTAGTCTTAACTGCTTGTTTTTACCACTGTTTGTGGTTCTGTAGGAGGGGGATTTCAATGCTAGCAGTGCCAGACATGGTCACTCACAACAATTCATCAAAGAAGATTAATGAGATGTCCAAGAAGGGCTACAGGAGTGACCAGTAGAAATAAAATCAGAAATGAAATCATAAGAGAAAAGGTAGACACAAAGCCAATTCTTAATTACAATCAAAGACAGGAAATCAAATTGTTTGCTCACTGAGAGAGAATGCCTTATGACACCATACCATACAAGGCATACACTACAAGAGGGAGAAGGACGTAGAGCAGAAGGTAGACTAAGAACAAGAAGGAAAGATATGTTTCAGAGAAATTATGTGTCTGTGATCGAGGCAGCTAGAAAGCAAAAAGCAGAGCCTTATATGTCCCTTGACACACAGAGCGGTAAAAGAGAAAGTGAAGAAGAAGTAGTAGGGGGTTGAGGTCATAAGTCTGAGAGTTAAGAACCTCATGGCTAGTGCAGTTGCCAAGGACTGCAGATAAGGACATTCAGATTTTATTTTTAGCATCGAAAGAAAAATATTCACCGCTTTACTGGAGATTCAATCCTGGTCTCCATAGTGATAGTCAAGTATTCTTAACCGTTTGGTTAGAGGCTCTTTTAGGGTTAAATATTCTTTGTTTATTCTTTCTAATCATTCTAAAACACTCCTGGATTCTAATAAGTATCAAAGTTAACCAGTGAAAACACACTGTTGTATGAACGGATTCCTACCCAAACAAACAGTTGAGTTTTCTCGTTGATGGTTACAGATTCCATAGACAGTTTTGAGGATGATTCGTATGTGAATCATCCTGCACACAATGGCAGCCGCACAGGCCACATGGATGGGGCTGTCGTGGACCAGGTAGATGATGTTTTTATATTTGCCACTATTGTTTTATCTGTCGGTTTGTTCAAATCATTTGGCTAATAAATTGTTGACGGATTTAAGGCTTGAGAGAAACCTTAAATGGTTAAATGCAATAGATCAGAATCTTTTAAGCCACCTGTGATAAGCATGACATTCTACAAAGAACATACATGATGATGATGATGATGATTTCTTAAACACATGTTTTATTATTTAATGTAATCCATACTTTCCCTCTGTATTCCCCACCTCCCTTCCAACTTGTCTGTTGTTGCAGTATACTCCAGTTTTCTCCTTCACATAATATTAGGCTGCTTCAAATGAAAACTAAAAATATTACAGAAATTACAGTACTGTGTCACTACTACAGTACTTGTAACCTGCCAGTATTGCTTTTAAGGATGTCAAGAGTGTTAAGCACATGACATCTTGGTTCAGACGAACATGGTGGACTCACAACAGTTTAAAGATGGTCTCCCCACTTTTGACCTGCAACAAAGAGGAGCAATGTCCTTTTAACTCATTTTTTGATTAGTGAAGACGTGAAACCTATAGAAATTCAACAGTGAGAAAAGGTTCAATGTAGTGATGCATACCGGAGAGTCCAGCAAGTCTTAGTCTTATTCGTGGTTTCAGCTTCACTGCACTCGGGTCACCCCATACTTGCTCTGTTTCTGTGCCAGTAAAAGTCAAATGAAATGTTCCTCACTGTCCCATTGTAAAACATTAGTCCCAGCACAGTCCAGAAATATGCGCATGCAGTAAATGCATATGGCAGTTGCTAGAGGTGCCAAAGCCAACTGCTTGTGACCAGAAGTGCACTTTGTCGTTAATGGAAGTTTCCAATTGAGATACATGTCACACTGCATCATGCTGAAGGATAGACAGTGCTTGAGATACATGTCACACTGCATCATGCTGAAGGATTTATCTAGGGGGTGGTAGGTCATAGACAGTGCTTGAGATACATGTCACACTGCATCATGCTGAAGGATAGACAGTGCTTGAGATACATGTCACACTGCATCATGCTAAAGGAGAGTGCTTGAGATACATGTCACACACTGCTGATCATGCTGAAAGTCACACTGCATCAGGATGACTTGAGATACATGTCACACTGCATCATGCTAAAGGAGAGTGCTTGAGATACATGTCACACTGCATCATGCTGAAGGATAGACAGTGCTTGAGATACATGTCACACTGCATCATGCTAAAGGATAGACAGTGCTTGAGATACATGTCACACTGCATCATGCTAAAGGAGAGTGCTTGAGATACATGTCACACTGCATCATGCTGAAGGATAGACAGTGCTTGAGATACATGTCTGCATCATGCTAAGGATAGACAGTGCTTGAGATACATGTCACACTGCATCATGCTTGAAAGGATCATGCTAAGGAGAGTGCTTGAGATACATGTCACACTGCATCATGCTGAAGGATAGACAGTGCTTGAGATACATGTCACACTGCATCATGCTGAAGGATAGACAGTGCTTGAGATACATGTCACACTGCATCATGCTGAAGGATAGACAGTGCTTGAGATACATGTCACACTGCATCATGCTAAAGGATAGACAGTGCTTGAGATACATGTCACACTGCATCATGCTGAAGGATAGACAGTGCTTGAGATACATGTCACACTGCATCATGCTGAAGG